GCTTCCCCTTGATTACAGAGCTGCTTTGCCTCTTTCTCTGGGGCCAGGGAGTCTGGTGCTACTCGCTTTGTGGCTTCTCTTAATTGAACAGCACATGTTCAAACATGCTAGCCTGCTTGCTTTCCAAAGACTGTGACAAGGATCCTGGGGCGCATCCCTTCTCCGGTAACACTGGCCAGGCAGTGAATTTCAATTTTGGCACTGTCTCTTCACATTTCAGTGATTGAATATGGCTCACATTTGTATAGCATTTTATATAGTTTACAAGGAGCTTTCCTTACTGTCCTTGGGAGTAGTTTAAATATAATCATCCTCATTTTATAGATGAGGAAACAGAGGCTCAAAGGTATGACCTGATCAAGGCATACAGTAAGTCTCCTGACTGCTATCCCCTCCAACTATCTCCTTATTCACAACTAGACTTAGAGAAAGACTGTCTGTGCTTGTGGTCTTCATTCTTCACCGCTAACAAACTCCTCACCTCCCTGCAGTCAGGCTTCCAGCCCCATTGCTCTAAACAAACTGCTCTTTCACCTTCAATTCCAAACATATCTATTCCCTGACCCTACCAGAGAGCTATATACTCTATAAGAAGAAGGGGGATGGGGGTGAAGCAGTCAGGGATACTAATCAACATACTGTGTCTGACAATCAACGCAATATTCTGTACCCAGTCCCCTACTTTTGTGTGTGTATGTGTGTGTTTGTTTTTTGGTTTTTGTCTAGGCAATGGGGTTAAGTGCCTTGCCCAGGATCACACAGCTAGTAAGTGTTACATGTCTGAGGCTGGATTTGAACTCAGGTCCTCCTGAATCCAGGACCGGTACTCTATCCACTGTGCCACCTAGTTGCCCCTCCAGTCCCCTACTTTTGCAAAGAATGGAGGAAGATGAATTTTTTTTAAAGGTACATTTTCTCATTTCTATTTGAGGACCAAGCTTGGTCATTATATTTATACAGTGTTCAGGTTTTTCTTTTTTGTAGTTCTTCCCATTTACACTGTTGTAGTTATTGTATATATTGTTTTCCTGATCCTGCTTGATTAACTTTGCATCAGTTCATGCACGTCTTCACATGCTTCTTAATAGCCATCCTAACAGCACACTCAGATTCTATTTCATTCATGTACTACAATTTGCTTAACAGTTCCATAAACAATGGGCATCTACTTTGTTTCCAATTCTTGCCTACTACAAATAAGTTACTACAAATGCCTTTATCTTTAATCTCTTTGAGGTATAAGTACAACAGTAGAATCCCTGGGAGAAAGTGTATACGTATTTTAATCACTTTCTTTGTATAATTCCAAACTGCTTTGCAGAACATTCGGACCAGCTCACAGCCCCACCCATAGTCTGTTAGCAGGTGTCTCCTTCCCCAGCCCTGTCAACACTGATCATGCCCATCTTCTGTCATCTTCACCAATTTGGGAGCATTTCTCTTATCTTAGTGACTTGTAGCAGTATTTAATGTGGTAGCTGATAGCTGGCAATGTTGAGAACTGTTTATTCATGTTCATATTCTTAGACCATTTATCTGCTGGGGCACAGCTCTTTAACCATTCCTTCCTAATCTTTTCCCTTGGTTTCCATGAGATTGTTTTGTCTGAGCTTTCCTTCTACCATCTCTAGGGATGATCCAAGATCCTTTGGAACCCTTAGTATGAGTATCCACTGACATTCCATCTCTGAGGTCTCCCCTCCTCCCTATACAATCTACCCGGGGATTTCTTCTACCTTCATGGCTTTATTTGTTAAATCTACATTGATGACTTCCAAGTTAGCTAGTAGACCCATTGTGTGTGTATTACATGTAGGTAGATACTCCTAATTTCTCAATTCCAGTTCCTTACCTTCAAGTGTTTGCTCTAGTCTAGATGCTCTGCCAGCTGAATTAGCCATCTGACCCTCTTCTCAATGACCCTATTTCTTTCAATGACACCTTGTGCTTCCTAGTGTTAAAACTTTGGCTAATTCTTTCTTCTCCCTCATTCCCACATTGAATCAGTAACTGAGGTCTGTTGATTCTCTCTTATCTATCCCTTCCTGTCCACTCGAAGTGCCAGCACCCTAGTTCAGACCCTCATCACTTCTATTGCAAAAGCTTCTTAACTAATTTCCCTGATTCTAATCTCTCCTTTTTTCAATTTAACCTATAACACAGTTGCCAACATAATTTTCTTAATGGATAGTTCTTCCTGTGTTACCACACTGCTCAAAAACCTTTGCTGCTGTCCTGTTGTCTCTTGAATGATAAACTATAAACTCCCCAGCCTGGCATATAAGACTTTCTATAACCTCATTTTAACCTACCCTTCCAGTTTTACTTCTCACCAGTCTCTTTCACACAGCCTACATTCCAGCCTCCTGATCTTTGCCCTCTTGTATTATGGCAAGTTGGGTGGTGCAATGGATAGAGGCTAGACTTGGAATTGGGAACTAGACCTAAGTTCTAATCCTACCTCAGATACTTAGTAGCTGTGTGATCCTGGGCAAGTCATTTAATCTCTGTCTACTCCTGTTTCCTCATCTGTAAATGGGGATAATAATAGCACCTACCTGCTATGGTTATTGTGGGCAATAAATGAGATATGTGCAAAGCATTTTCCAAATCTTGAAGTGCTTTCTAAAAGTTGCAGTGATGAAGATGATGCTCTCCTGCCTCTGTGCATTTATATATAGGCATTTGTTGTTCAGTTGTTTCAGTCATGTCTGACTTTCTTGGCACAGATACTGGAGTGGTCAGCCATTTCCCTTCTAGCTCACATTACAGATGAGGAAACTGAGGCAAGCAGGGTGAAGTGACTTGCCCCAAGGTCACAAAGCTAGTGTCTGAGGTTGGATTTGAACGCGGGAAGATGAGTCTTCCTGATTTCAGGCCTGGCGCTCTATCCAGTGTGCCACCTAGCTGTTCCTGTGCCACTGAGATTCTTCTTCAAACGTTGAAATCTTTGTTCCAATCCTTCTCTTCCTTCAAGATCCAGCTCTACTGCTTCTATGAAGTCTTTCTGACTGTTTCACCTGCCCCATCCCAGCTGCAAGTGTTAACTCCCTTGCTCCATCACTCTATACCTTGTGCTGTAATGATTTGTATGCATCTCATATCTTCATATTGAAGTCACAACTGCGAATTTTCAGTAATGGAGAAAAACCGCATGTACCCACTTTAGGCTAAGTATAGTGTTTACCGGATACTGATGCCAGCCACAAAGAGAACATTTATTTAAACGTGCCTTGGGTTGTCCCGGGTCACTGGCTGGTTCCAGAAAGTACATGAGTTGGTAGCTAGAACCCAGGTAATCAGCATGGCCTAGGCAATCAGTTGGTTCTGGATGGTCCAAGGCTGTTTAGAGGCAAGGCAGTTTTATGTGAGCAGAACCATGGGAGGCTGGCTTGGGGGCTAGAGGCATCAATGTAAAATTAAAAACAAAACAAAACTTGGGGCAGCTGGGTGGAGCAGTAGATAAGAGTTCTGGCCTCGGAGTCAGGAGGACCTGAGTTCAAATTCGACCTCAGACACTTCACACTTACTAGCTGTGTGACCCTGGGCAAGTCACTCAACCCCAATTGCCTCACCAAAAAAAAAAACCACTCCCCTGTTTTTCCAATTATATTTGAGTCAAGAAAGGCACATTTGGATTGGTTGGCATGCTGTCTTGAAAGCCGGTGGCTCTATTACCTCCAGCCTCCCCAGAGAGAAAAACTGCTGAGCCTGCCTGAAGTAGCCAGCATCCCTCCCAGATTTCCAACTCCTTGAGGGCAGAGATTCATAGCATGACTGAACCACCTTGGCAATATCTTTTTCTATAGAGGTCATTTGAAATGGGAAGGACTTGGGTTAATGTATATTTGGTTAGAATAAAGCACTGTCAGTAAACATTATCAAGCTTATTTACTTCAGTATCTCGTGGCTGCCATCATTTTGGGGGGTAGGGTAGGAGAAAGGTAGGGAATCCTGATGTGATCTCTCACACTCAGTACTTTTCATGCATAAAGACAAACGGGCCACGCATTTACATGCTCTTCATATATATGCCACTAGACAGGTAACTGCTTCTATTTTTCTTTATTAAGACAGAAGGTGATAACTTAAAGAACAACCTTAAATCACACTTGATTCCACATATCTGTGGATTCTATACCTTTCTTTTTATTTTAATTTTTAAAAATTTTAAAATGCTTTGTTAGCACTTTTTTTGGGGTATTTATCACTGTTCTACCAACCAACTCTCTCCCAAGTACCAAGCAACCAGTACTAAATTGCTTTGGTGATTATTTCTTTGCAGTATAGTTTGAGATATAGAGGACCTCCCCCTTCATTTCTACTTTTTCCATTATTTCCTTCAGATTTTCCACCTTTCGTTCCTCCAAACTAAAATGTTTATTTTGTCTAGATCTACAAAATAATCCCTTGATTGTTTGATTGGTATGGCACAAAATCTGTAAATTAATTTGGGTAATAGCCTCATTTAAATGTAACTCTCCAGTTATATATCTTATTTCTTTTCTGGAAAAAAAAAGTATTTTGTAGTTTTAGTCATATAAATCCTGAGGTTGTCTTGGAAGATGAATAACCAGATATTTTATATATTCTGTACCTACTTTGAATGAGATTTCTTTTTCTATCTTGTCCTGATGAACTTTAATAATAATTTTCAGAAAGGCTATAGATTTTTATAGGTTTATTTTATATCCTATTACTTTATTGAAGTTATTGTTTCAATTAATTTTTAGTTGAATATCTAGGCCATAATATCATCTGCAGATAGTAATAATTTTATTTTCTCTTTGTCTATGAATATTCATCAAAATACTTTTTCCTGCCTTAAATAATAGTGGTGACAGTGGGTATCCTTGTGTTACCCCTGATCTTATCAGAAAGACCTGTAGTGTTTCTCCATCACAGATAATGCTAGTTATTGGTTTTTTTGAGACACCATTTACTCATATTTTGAGGAAAGGTCCATTCATTCCTATGCTTTGTTTTATTGTATTTTGCAGATTCTGCAGTTTTGCATCAAGCAAGTCTATTGGCACCATTTTGCCAACACCTGTGTTCACCTGTGTCTCTGTGACACATTTTGGTAATTCTTGCAGTATTTCAAACTTTTTTGTTTTTTGCTTTTTGGTGAGGCAATTGGGATTAAGTGACTTGTCCAGGATCACATAGCTAGTAAGTGCCAAGGGTCTGAGATCGGATTTGAACTCAGGTCTTTCTGACTCCAAAGCTGGAGCTCTATCCATTGTACCACCTAGCTGCCCCTTATTTCAAACTTTTTCATTATTATTATATCTGTTATGGTGATCCGTGATCAGTGATCTTTGATGTTACTATTGTAATTATTTTGGGGTGCTACGAATTGCACCCATATAAAATGGTGAACTTAATCAATAAATGCTGTGTGTATTCTGACTGCTCCACCAGCCAGCTGTTCTCTCTCCCTGTCCTTGGGCCTCCCCATTCCCTGAGACACAAAGATCTTGAAATCGGGCCAATTAGTAACCCTAAAATTGTCTCCTTTCAGGTGAAAGGAAGAATTAATTAATGTAGCCAACTTCATTGTTGACTTATTTTAAGAAATTACCACAGCTACCCTAATCTTCGGCAACAACTACACTGATCAGTCAGCAGCCATCAATGTGGAGGCAAGACCCTCCTAGAACAAAAAGATTACAACTCACTGAAGGCTCAAATGATGGTTAGCAGAAACTTAGGCCCTGGGGTTCTGCCACACTAATTGGTGACTGCCTCTCCCAGACCACTATCCCCAGCCACCATACTTCACTTCAGTCCTTCCTCTCCAATTATCTCTTCCGCAGTTTTGCCAGCTACCTTGCTGCTCACCCCTCTCCACTTCTAGAACCATGAACCACAATCAAATCAACTCTACCACTTTTCCTGGTGGACTGTGTCATTTACTTCTCTATGGTCCACCACTTACCATCCCTGTAACTTTCATGACCAAAATGTCCTTCTCTGTCCATCACTTCCCTTTGTGTACTGTTTCTCTCATTAAAATTCAAGTTCTTTGAGATCAGGAATTGCATTTGCTTTTGAATTTGTATTTGTATCACGAGTGTGTAACACAGTGCTTAGAATGTACTTAATAAGTGCTTTTCCGTCCATTCATTTGGTCATTCATCATAGTGGGCAATCTTTTTAATATGGTGCTCTAGCTTCCTGGTGAATATGGTTGTTTTTGGGCTAGGCAATGGGGTTAAGTGACTTGCCCAGAGTCACACAGCTAGTGAGTGTTTTGTGTCTCAGACCGGATTTGAACTCAGGTCTTCCTGAGTCCAGGGCCAGTGCTCTATCCACTGCACTACCTAGCTGCCCCCTCCTTGTGAATATTTTACTCAAAATTTTAGGATCTGCATATCTATATATATTAGCTGTATTTATTAGCTATATAATTGAGCTATAGCTTTTTTTTTTTTTGTTCCCTGCTTTATCTCTCTGGTTTAGATATCAGGATCACATTTGTTTAATAGAAAAAAAAAATGGTTGGATACTTTTTTCTATTTTTACCAAAAATTTATGTCATTTTAGAATTAATTTTTAGTTGAATGTTTGATTGAATTAGCTAAGAGACCCATTTGGGCCCATGGTTGTTGTTATTGTTTTTTTGAGGGGGGAGAAGTTTATTTATGGCTTGTCTAATTTCCTTTCTGGAACTAGGTTAATTGTTCTATTTCTTGTTTTGCTAATCTAGGCATTTTATATTTTTGTAAATATTCACCTATTTCTTTTAAGTGATCAGTTTGTTGGCATATAATTGGGCAAAATAATTTCAAACAATGTTTTTATTTCCTGTTCATACGTTGTGATTCTTTTTTCCTTTTATTAATGGTGATTTGGTTTTCCTTTTTTTTTTTTTTTGGTGAGGCAATCGGGGTTAAGCGACTTGCCCAGGGTCACATAGCTAGTAAGTGTCATGTGTCTGAGGCCAGATTTGAACTCAGGTCCTCCTGACTTTAGGGCCAATTCTCTATCTACTGCGCCACCCAGCCGCCCCAATTTTCCTTTTAAAAAAGCAAATCAACTAATGGTTTCTTTTATTAATCTTAATTTTGTTTTCAATACTGTTTATACATGTCTTGCTTTATTTTAAAATTTTATTTTTTTTGTGTTTATTTGGGGATTTTTGATTTGTTGCTTTTCTAGTTTTTTTTCTTAGTTGAAAGCTCAATTCATTATCTCTTGATTCTCTTTTTTGTTGATGAGTATGTTTAGATATATACATTTTCCCCTCAGCACTGATTTGGCTGTATCTCACAAGTTTGGTGCTATCTCACTGATACCATTTTTCTTTGCACAATTTAATTTTTTCTACAATTTGTTCATAGACCCACAAAAATATCTGGGATGATATTAGTCTCCTTTTATGTCTTAATTCTTTCCTCAAATTACCTTTATTGTTTATAATTTTTATTACATTATGGCCAGTAAAGAATTTGTTTGTCAGTTTTTTGGGGGGCCCTGGTACATGTTCAATTTTTTTGAAGCTGCCATGTATAGCTGAGAAGTAAGTATATTCCATTTGCTTCCTACTTACTAATCCCCCAAAATTTATCATATCTAACTTTTCTATTCAGACCTTTATTTGACTTAACTTTTCAGATCTTTACCTCTTTATTGTTTATCTTTTGGTTAGATTTTTCCAAGTCTGAAATGGACACATTAAGTTATTTGTTTGGAGGTGATGACTGTTCACTGGATTCTGACCATATTTTCCTCTCTGTTTATTGTCTTACAGGCTGCTCAACAGATGCCGGATAAACAATATACAAAACTACAAAGTTGCAATTCTATTCAACACAATTATGGGCCAAAATTTTTTCCCCCCTTTTCTTTACTGCTAGAAATCTGGAGCCCACGCGTCTCTTTTAAAAGTTTCATTGCTACCATTTGTTTCATATCACATTCATTTCCTGTTATCTCCCTACCCCCACTTTTCTCTTTTATCAAAGATCACTCCTCACCCACAACAGTTCAGCCAAAGCAACTGATACATATCTATATCTATATATCTATATCTATCTATCTATCTATCTATCTATCTATCTATCTATCTATCTATCTATCTATCTATACACACACACACACGGTTTTTTTTTTCAGCAGTCCTCTTGGGACTTAGGGATCTTAGAGGACTCAGATGTGTGGAAGGAGCCCCACTGTTCAAAGTTCATGTGTGTACCTGAATGTGATCACCAACATCATTGGCTTGGCCCTCTGCCAAGCTAATAAGATAGTCTTCTGACTATATACCTCTCATATCCCTGAACCATCATCATATGATGGCCCTAAACACCATATGGCTTCTGATCCATAGGCTGGGGATTACTGAATTTTCCCCTCTTAAATGCAAATGGTATATAGGAACCCGGCTGCTGTTATCCAAAGGAGTTCAGATGAAGCCCACACCCAAATGCTACATTGGTTATAAATGGCTTCCTCTATATAGATTCAGGGTCTCAGAGGATTGAACAGTAGCTCATCTGCTTTCATGTTTTCCTTTGGAATTCAGTAATGAACTCATTAAATCACCAACTTGTTGTGACAGAAAGTCATTCAGATGCTGATGCCATTGCCATGGAAACCACTCCTCTGCTCAGGAGATCTGTCTGTCTCTTCCTGAGGAGTGCTGGCTCCATAATTACCAGCACCCCAAATAACACAGAGGTATCACGACTGCGAGTGCATGCAGATCCCAAAGTGGGGATGTAAAGCAACTCCACAGAGGGGCTGTTTCTTCCTGTTTCTTCTCCCTAGGCCTAAGTGGGAAGGGGGTGTCCTTGCTCAGTGCAATTTGATGGTTAGCAAATAGCTCCCATTGAGAGAGCTGGGCTATACCGCCAGCTGGTCCACACCGCCTTCCAATTTTCCAAGCTGCTGGCTAATGACGTTTGGACTTGCACCGAACAATTGCTTTGCTTGGTATCTGACAGATCCTAGAAAGTCAGACAAAGGCTGTTCTTTTGGAAGCCTCTCAAGGCTGCTCTTATAAAGTGAACCTACTGTTCCCTTATCTCTTTATGTCTTCAAAACTCACAGAGGTGGTCTCAGTTGTGATTATTCTTGAATTTTTAGATACCAAGCAAGCTACTGTGAAGCACAAATTCAAATGCCATTCACTGGCAATTGGGAAAATTGCAAAGTAGTGAGGACCAGTGCTTTCTCCATGCTGCTGTTTGCTCAACATGTCATATTTAACTAAACTTCCTCTTTGCCCTTCCCACCTACCCACGGGGAGAAAAGATGGATAGAAGCAATACGTCTTTGGATCTCAAGCTACGATTTTACAACGAGATTGTGACATCTAGCTCTTGCCCCTCCCCATAGAAACATTAATGGCTAAAAGTCAAAAGTAGATGAAACACTTCATTAACCTATTACTGCAACTTCTAGACTAAGCTTGTATTCCTTTATCCAATCCCTCTTTGGTGAGGTAACATCATTTTGTTTCTAGTATTGCATATATCCAGATGGATCACAACTAGACCCAAAGGTCAGTGCCAAAATGTATTCCAGAGACAATACAAGGATCAGTGTTTTCACCCTTAAAATTATTCTTAATTGAAAGTCGATGAATTTGCGGACAAAAGAACCATTCTGTAGGTCATTAAATATTGTATTAATGAGAGGAGGGATCATGTCTTTAATGAGGTATACAGAATATGGCACACTGAGAATGACTATAACATTTCCTCCATATATTTCCTAACCTTTGTCTGCTGAAATCCTTCTCCTTCTTTCAAGGTCCAGGTTGAGTTGCATCTTCTCTGTGAACTCTTTCCTGGTTCATAGAGCAGAAGTGACCTTTCCCTTCTCAGACCTTCCTAGGGGACTCTCCCTTGACAGCCTTATGGTCTAATCACACTCTACCTTATGTTACATTTATTTACATAGTGATCTTTCCACTATTAGATTTCAAGCTCCTGGACAGTAGGAACTTCTTCCCCCCCCCCCCCATTTTTGGATCCCAGACCTTTAACAAATACTTGTGGAATTGAATTTAGTAAAACACAGACCTGAGAATATCACTCTCTTGTCCACAGGCATAATGCTAAATCCTGTTATTTAATGTAAACGGTTACAAGTACAATGAGGTATATTCCTTGAAGCTAAGAATGTGGCTCACTCAAGGCCCTCCTCACTCTAGCCCTAGCTTATTATCACTTGTAGAAATCCCTTTGGGACTGGAGCAGTGTAAGAAACAAATCTTGCCAATCACATTATGTTGAATTCATGTATGTGTTTGTGTGCATGCTCGCGTATGTGGTAATTTGGCAGGGGAGGGGAGTGGAGCAACAGCATTGGGAAACAGCCCAACTAGGGAAGTTTCAGTAAAGTGTTTTTTTCAGATTTTTTTGAATTAAGAAAAAAAAGAGCTCATGGAATTCCTGTTATATTGTCTCACTTTGACTACAAAGAGGAAAAAACAGTTCATCAGAGACTATGGGAAGATTTTGGTTGTGAAAAGCCATCAAAGGGGTGATGTCTAGTTTTTCTTACAATTCATTCTCCAAATAACAGTGTGGCCATTGTCATATTAGCAACACGAATACTCAGAGGTAGCGTGTAGAACACTAGTGATCCCAAACCTCTACTTCACTTCTAATTTATGGGTTAAATAGTTTGTGTTGGTACCAGGTTACGCATTTTGGTCTGATTAGTTTCTCTCTGCTTAGACCGTGAGCTTCTTGAAGGCAAAGGCTTTTCTACAGACACACAAATTAACTGTATGACCTTGGGCAAGTCTCAACTTCATAGTACCTGATGGAACGATGTACTTAGCTAATACTGCTCAGTAAATGCACATTGAAGTTGTGTGCTTCAGGTCTCCTGTTGACCAAACAGGGCTAATATCTCCTTCCTTCAGAACAAAAGGGAGGACATGATGAGCAGTGAAACAGTGTGTGAAAGCCCTAACATTCTATAATTCCAAGCATCTACTAAACAGGGGCAGCTGGGTGACATAGGGGATAGAGCGCTGGGCCTGGAGTTAGGAAGACTCATCTTCCTGAATTCAAGTCTGTGTTTTTATTTGCTGTGTGACTCTGGGCAAGTCACTTAACCCTGTTTGGGGTTCTTCATCTGTCAAATGATCTGGAGAAGGAAATGGCAAACCACTCCAGTATCTTTGCCCCAAAATCCCAAATGGGGTCACGAAGAGTTGGACGTGAGTGAAATGACCGAACACCACCACCAAACACACACCTATCATCGCTTTAGGTTCTGTGGGGGATCACCAAAGTAGTGGAAGACAGGCAGATTTAGACTTGACAAAAGGAAAAACTTACTAACAAGAGGGCTGTGGAAAGGAGAAATGGGACTTTCCATCCCTGATGGACTCTTTAGTCCAGTGACACTGGCCTCCTTGCTCCTCTCACAAGACACTCCATCTCCAGACTCTGGGCATTTTCGCAGGCCGTCCCTTATGCCTAGGATACTTTCCCTCTTCATCTTGATCTCTGGACTTCCCTGACTTCCTTTGAGCCCCAGCTAAACTCCCATCTTCTTATTATTATTTTATTTTATTTTTTTTTTGGTGAGGCAATTGGGGTTAAATGACTTGCTCAGAGTCACGCAGCTACTGAGTGTTACATGTCTGAGGCTGGATTTGAACTCGGGTCCTCCTGCCTCCAGAGCCGGTGCTCTACCCACTGCACCACCTAGCTGCCCCTAACCCTAAACTCCCATCTTCTAGGAGTGGCCTTTGCTGATGATGTTTGTTACAGCACAGAGCCTTGCACATAGTAGGTGCTTCATAAATGCTTATTCCCTTTCCTTTCCCCTTTAATTCTAGCGCCTTCCCTCTATTGATCACCCCAAATTCACTCTGTTTATGCCTTGTTTGTATGTTCTCTCCCCTAACCCGTGAGCTCCTTGAGGGCAGGGGTTATCTTTGCCCTTCTTTGTATTCCCAGCGCTTGGCACACTGCCTGGCACACAGCACACATGTGATAAATGCTCATGGACTGAGTGACTGAGGAGGTAGGGAGTTTCACACCTCTGGAGGTCTTGGAGGAGAGGCTAGCTCATGCCTTATTTTGTGTGTGTGTGTGTGTGTGTGTGTGTATGTGCTGCAGAGCTGATTCTTATCTCAGTATAGATTGGACTGGGTGGCCTTCGAGGTCCCGTCCAAATCTGACGTTTTGAGAAGAGGATAAAAACGCAGACAGCTCTAAAGCGGGGCCACGTCCTAGTGTTCCCATACGGTGCTCGGCATGTCGTTGTTTCTGACATATTCTGTTTGTATAAACAACTTGACGGAAAATTCTGGAGGAATAATATCAACGTAGGCCTAATCTAATTATCACAAATATAAGAAAGGGGTATTTTCACTTCATTTTCATATAATTCAGGCCCTATTTAAAATTGATAATAGCTAGAATTTAAATGACATCGACTATGTGTTAGACATTGCGCCAAGTGCTTTAAAAAAGCTACCTCATTTGATCCTCACAACAACCTTGGAAGGCGGGTGCTGTTATTATCACCCCCATTTTATAGTTGAGGAAACTGAGGCACGCAGAAGTTAAGTGACTTGACCAAAGTCCTGGAGTGAGGAAGTGGCTAAGCCCTTTGAATTCAGGTCTTCCTTATGAAATGATAATATAATATGTGCAATATATTATATATAAAATGTATAATATACAATCCTGTAATGTGGGTGGCCCCTTGGTGTTTACTGTATCATGAGCAAGCATTCATCAGAAGGTCTTACGCCGCTTTTCACAGTCTCCATCAGCAAATCAAAGTGTAGCACTGAGACACGAAGCATCGGTCCAGTTTCTACGATGCTACACCATTCCAACAGAACGAACCCCCATCACCAAGGTGGCCCACTGTGTTTGCTTCCTTTGGCTTTGTTTTCTAGGGAATTTTGTAACCATCAGCTTGCTTTTCCACTCATGCCTTCTCATCTCAGCACCCAGGGATAGCCTTGAGTAACACATGTGACCCTACATTTTTGGACACTGAAAATGTTATCGTAATAACTAGCATAGATAGCATGGTTTACATTTTGCAAAGCCTTTCCATTTGTCATCTTATTTGGTCCTCCAACTCACTCTATGAAGCTAGGAGTATCCCTGTTTTACAGACAAGGAAACTAAGGCTGAGGGGGGTGGTGAGTTGCTCAAGGTCACTGAATTCACTATCTTCACTATGACTCAACAGGCAGAGTATAAAAAACCACAGCTTTGTGGCAGCTTGTGAAATAGTCCAATGCTCGGATACAAATGCTACAGAGATTGAATGTCAGCCTCATTGAGGGCGGCATTATTCAGCTCTGCAGAACATGCCTGGGACACATGTTTTGTTTACATCCAGAAGGGTACGTAGACAGTCCTAGGCAGAGTGTCTGGATTAGGGAAACCACACCAAAAGAGGATGACTCATCTGCCAGAGACAGGAAAAGTCTTCCTGGGCTGACTGGTTTCACAGACTTCACCAAGCCTGATTCAGCCTCGGCTTCCTTTTGATTTATCCTTAAAGCACACCACCTTGTCTGACTAATAAAGGGGAGAGGGGTGGGGCAGGGAGAGACATCACTGCCAAGATACAGGCCTCTGACATACAGAACCTCAAGATGTATGGAGTCAGCTCTTGTTTACCCACTTCAGCGGAATCAGCGCTGGCACAGAGAATCCGAAATCCCCAGAAAATTCCAAAGCACTTCTTTCTGGCTTTGGGAGACATTTTCTGTCTTTGTAGTAGCACACTTAATTCCCTAGTTATGTTTCCTTTGGACTGTGTTAAATGTTAAAATCAGTTTGCTTTCCCTGGTCATGCATCAATTGATACTATAAGGAAATGGAGAGAATACCAGATTTGGAATAAGAAGATATAAATCTGAATTTTAGCAGTGCCAATAACTATCTGTGTGACCTTGGGAGAGTCACTTAACCAACCAGGGCTCCAGTTTCTTCATCTACAAAATGAAGGTGACAGAAGTAGATGATCTCTAAATTTGCTGGCCCTGGGGTGTCCTAGGTGTGACGTGGTGAGAGAATCTGATAGAGGGTTAAGTATTTGCTTTAAATAATAGAGATAAGCAGGAACTCATTGTAACATGTTTATTTGTTTGTTTTCTGCTTTTTGGTGAGGCAGTCAGGGTTAAGTGACTTGCCTGGGGTCACACAACTAGTAAGTGTCAAGTATCTGAGGCCACACTTGAACTTAGGTCCTCCTGACTCCAAGGCCAGAACTCTATCCACTGAACTACCTAGCTGCCCCTTGTAACATGTTTAAGTCAAAAGTTTCTCATAGTTCATCAGAAAAAAAAAGGGTTGGCAGTTTATAAAGGAAAAAGAAAAACATTTTAACTACATTTTTGTGTAATCACGAGGCTAGTAGTTAACCCTTTCCTAAATCTTGAGTTCCAAATAAAAAAACACAATAGACACGTAGGACTGAAATAATGTGAGAAAGGTACTTATAATATTTTTTCTTTTTTGGGGTATACATGTATACAGAGCCTGAAACCTAAATACCTGAGCCATGGAATTTAGAGGTTTTTTCCTGGCATTATGCAGAAAAATGCTCACTAGTAATGCTCTCTTTCCTTTGTATTATATTTTTCATTTCCAAAGATCCAAAAGCATCACCATCATTATTGTCATTAAAATTAAGGTAATTTGAAGAAAAAATAAATGGTAATTTAAAAAGCTTACAACAGGCATTTTATTGTAGAATGAATTTAAAACCTGAGATATTAATCAGTACAATCATATAGATTGGAATGAAACTACTTTCCACTTTCCACTCTGTGGGCTGGGTCTCTGAAAGTACAGTCCTGTTGGAAAGCACTGACCTACTCCAATGGTCTACTTCAGTGGAGTCTGCCCATATGGCGAAGCCATTCCCCAGGCGGAGAGTATGGCGAGGTACCTGACATGGATGGCCTTAATTCATTTTATAACTTATGCATTTTGGAGGAAGAGCTAGGG